TTGATATTTACGGAGGCCAATTCGCTCTGTCTCCCTTTATGCATTCACATGCACACAAACACACACCATCCTCTCAAGACGGGAGGCTGAGAGCGCTGTTATAAATATTCATGAGGTAATTATTATTAACGTCACCGAGGTGATTCTGTTCCTTCTCAGTGGGGACTGGTTCCTCCATCTAGAAACTGATCAAGCATAGGAGGAACGGCAGCTTTGAGGCAGCCCAGATAAAGCAATCTCGTACGTTTTCCTTTTGATACGTAGGTTATTTGAGCAGGTATTTTAAATCACTCCCATTCCATCATCAAGTTAACCGGCAGAGATTTCCACCTCTGTTGGAATATGCGACGTTCTTGGGAGCACAGTTTCCAGAGTTTGGAGACAGAAGTGCACCTTGATTATTACATTCTTTTCCAAGAGCGAAAATTAAAGAAAACATCCAAAACATCTCAAGAGACTTCTGGGTGATGAGTTTTGTAAAAATGCACGGGGAGATAATTACAACACATTTGCTACTTTTATTATTTAAAAAGACATTTCACATCATGGGCCTTATTAAAGAGCTGTTTTTGAGAATCACGGGCTCTTGCAGTCACATAGAAAAATAAGAAAAACCAAAATATAAAAATAGCTACTGGTGACAGTTAATTCGATCTCTAGGTGTTCGTCATAGACTCTTCCCACCTGTGGGTCTGCCTGGTTATTCTACATGCGTAATATATCATAACAAGGGAAATTACTGTTAACTATTATTTTCCATCAAAAAACTAATTATTTCTGGTTGGAATAAAAATGTTTATTTTTCGCCCAAGACCTAAGCGAACATGTTAAATAAGTCAGAACACTGGAAGATGCATATATCTTTTCAGTACCTCACTAGAAATGATTTTTGCTAGCTTCCTTCACTCCATTGCCATATCAGTATTCATCTTTCCAGAACACTCTGATGATTAGCAAAACAGCCATTAAAGTCACAGAAACAGAAAGCGTGTGACGTCAGAAGGAGGCGGCAATGACGCGGGACTCACCTTAGGCATCCAGTGGCATTTCGCAGCACCTGTGAGGAGTGCAGCTGGATCTTCCGATCATCCTGGAGGGGTGAATTTTCCCAGCCTGAGTGGGGGATGATCACCGCGTTGGTCAGCACTGCCAGCGTGTCCTGGATGATGGGCATTTTGAGTGCGTCGCAAGATGAGAGGTTCCAAAGGACTCCTGCAAGAGGCGCAAAACAGAGCTGTCTGACGCCCACTGTTTTCTCTCCTCTCAACACCATCTCCCCCGGTCAAGTTAACAGCACAGGCAGGAAGGATTAAGAGAGCCTCCGCACATGTCTGAGAGCGTGCTTTCCATTTCGGAACATCTGTGTGAACCCATTACAGAAGTGCTGTGAAACTCCGACAAGGAGGC